AGAACACTGGTATGAGACACAGTGGAAGGACAGCTATGCCAGATCTGTCTTGCTCAATACACCCATGGTGTCAAGGAACCTGTTGTTAAACTTTGCCAGGCTCTGTCAAGCTGAATACACACAGTACCATGAGAAGGAAGCTTGACTCGGGGAATCCTAGCAGTGTGACAGGACCTCTTTCTGCTCCATTTTACTGTCCTGTCTCCAGACAGAGAAAAACTCCCCTTTGGCCCACTGTTTTTACATTTTTTGAACACCTTTGACCTTCAAGCCTCTCTTTTACCTTGATAGTCATATGCAGTAATTTTCTTGATTTCCCCACATCTAGTCCTGCGGTGCCTGTCCCAGGAAGGAAATCCAGTCAGGACAGTGGTCTAGGAAAGATTAAGTTGAGACTGAGCATTTAATCCTAGTGTTTTCAGTGACTGCCTTTTTAGGCATAGGTTTTACTACTCTATTTGATTTTTTCATTTGACTGGAGGTAGGTAATAAAAATTCTGGTTTTTAACATCACAGTCATAACTATTTTCATGCAGAGTGATAATACAACACATATGTGAACAAAGTGCATATGCCACGTCTGGAACACCAAAATTAATCACCTCAGATGTAGAGGCAGAGGACAATCACTCAAAACAAGGTATGATTCAGGGTTAAGATATGGGAAATTTGCTATTACAAAGTTTTTCCCAACCATTTCAGATTTATAAAATAAATATTGGCATCTGCAGACAAATGCCAGATAGCATGTAGCAATTTGACAGACCTACAACCTACAATTCTATGCTTTCTTTTGCCTACGGGTTATGAGGAAGTGATGAAAGGTATTCTCAGCTTTGAGTGGGTCACCCTACATTTGATAGCTTGAATTCAGAATGTATATACATACCTAAGTAGTTTATTTCATATGGAAAAGGGATATATTTTAATGACTGAAATTAGGCTATTTAAGAGAATTAATGCTTCTAGGAGACCATGATCCTCTTACCTTGTGGTATACTGAGGCTGACTGGTGAACCTTTGACCATGGGAAGAAAAGTAGCTGAATCTTTTGCTATTCGTGGTGTTTTCTAATGAGAAAATCTGCATTTAGTGAATGATATTCAGTACTGAAGAAAGGTAAATGGCTTGTCTTTAGATTTCTTTTACATCACTTACTTTTTTCCCTCTGTACATGTTGGGTGTTTTGCTTTAGGCAGCACGCTGGTGAGCTTCTCAGTCTTCTCAGAAAAGTGTCTTACACTTTGAACAGGCAATTCATAGCAGCTGGAGCTTTTTCCCACTACAGAAAGTGTGTGTCTGTTACATTTATACTGTAAAATGCACCAGAATTTAATTTCAGGGTAGTTTTCTTCATGACTAAACCTAGAGGAAAAGCTGAAGTTTGCCTGTTGTCTGCAGCTGTTTTGTACAGTTTCAGTTAATCTTCAAAGCTCAATAATTGGTGTAGTTTCATTACAAAGTCTCAAAATGGAATGTTAAAGGATCTTTCTTGTTTGAAGATAAAGACATTCATAACTCTTCTGCAAGCTGAAGATTTAAGTTTTGGGTTGTTTTTATTGTTGTTTTTTTTTCTGAGCACAAATGAACCATTTCAAAGGAAGATTAAGGAAAAAGTGCTCTTGATATACAAAGTCCTGTCCATTCTGTGTTTTCTCATCATGTTTATTAGCAATTCTTATTTTCCTTTGGACCATGAGAAATATGAACCACAGGGAGAAGATACCTTTTTATCAAAGTTTTTTGGTAAATAAACATTTCTGTGATTTAGGCAAGGCTGTCTTTTTGTTGCTGATTTGTTTTTCCACTATACATTTTTCTGCTTTTGTTTTTACTGTGGTGGAAAAAGTAAATTGTAATCTTTAAAGGAAAATAGTGAAGGAAATTTGGATGGTGAGATAAAAATTCTTTTAATTTGCTAATAATTTATTTAAATTGTTGTAAAAAATCTTGCCTATGGAATAGAAGTCACTGCAGCACCTGCAGGCCTTTATTATTTGTATCTTAAGATGAAGGTGCTAGTTTTCAGGTTTACTCTGTGGCCTGTCCTAAGGAATATATAGGGGAAATGTGAACTTAAGACCAGTTAGTGTTAGGTAACATCCCAGAGTTGAAATATCTCACAATCCCATCAGGCACTGGGACTAGAGAAAGAGATCTTGTTAAGAGGAGCATACTTCTCAGGCATCGTAAAGGCTAGCAATGATATATTTTTTTTTATCTTGTACATAAATAAAATACTTGAAAGCTGTGATCTTGTGTCAACACTTTACTGTTAGGCTTTGAAGATTTTACAGAAGTTAGTGTTTAAAACTCATAAATAAAAATACAGCTGATTGCTATCATACTGAAGATCCTTGGGACCTGGGGCCCTTAAGCAGATGTTTCAGAGGACACATTTTCCAAAGACTTAAATTTTTCTTGCAAAGCACCTCTTGCTGCTGGAGAGGAGTTTTAATACCAGGTTGAACCCAGGTGTTCATAACTTACTAGAGAATCTTTGTTAACTACAGCGCAGGTTTTTAAAGCTTTCAGAGGATTGTGATCAACGCCTTGTGTTGCATTTGGAAAAGAAGATGAAGGTCATGTAACACACATTGTCCTTCCACTGAGCTCATGATTTCAGTAGCTGCTTAAACCTCCACTTTCTTTACTTAACCTGTTTTGATTTGTCTGTATGATATCGCACATAAAAGTTTTTGTCTTTCCCCCTTCCCCTGGGACTGAGATAAGATTTGCAGCTGGTAACGTCTGGTGTTTTGTCATGTTATTTCTTTAGCTGGCTACTAAAAATGACAGTGCATAATCGACTTTTCAGGGATAGTTGCTTTTTTAAAGGGTTTCAGTTTGCTCTGTCAAGAAGCATCATTGCTGCTTTATGCTATTTTTTCAGATTTTCTGATCCAACTGATTTATGACGCTTGAACTTTCCAAACTAATCTGTAGTTTACGTGGATCTTAATCTTTGTCCAGGACACACTGACTGCCCATAAAAATTGTTTGAAAAAGGAGTTTCTGCTTTTAAGTCAACAGCAAACAGTGATGTAAAAAAAAGTTAATTGTGTGCTCTGTTCTCACGGGTGGCTGAGATGGGTTGCAGTCACACATGCCATCTTATTGTTCTCCTCCAAAAAATGTTACCAAAGAAAATGGGATTTAAATGATTGTTTACATGACAGTTGTGCCTGCAGAAGAGAGATTTAAGTGGGGAACTCTGGTCTCGATCTGGACCATGACTAAATTTTGTCTGGGTGCCAAACCAGGATCACAAAAATCTGCTCTTTCCTGAGGCCATGCATAAGACCAGTTGCCTTTCTGCTGGTGTGTGCTGGAGGGGTGTTTGGAGCCTGGCAACCACAGCTGCAGGCATGGCACAGGAGCAATGCATGGTTTTCGTTTCTAACTCTTGAGGGTTAACTTTTCAAATCTTGTCTTCCTTTCCTCTTCATGGGGAATGTAGGGCTTTTTCTTCATCAAAACCAAGGGCAGCGTGTTTGGCAAAAAGATGCCAGGAGCTGGGCCTTTAGGCAGAACAAACAAAAGTGTGTTCCTATGGAGAAAGAGCTGTTGGTGCTGGGTGAGTAGCAAAGGTGAAGGTAGGATGTGAACACCACATTCTGGAGCCTGTTAGTTCCTTCTTCAGACTGCAGTCATGCTGCCCCAACTGGCTTGTTCCATTCTTCCCTTCCTTGACATGCAGGTCTCCATTTGTTTGTGGTAAATGAGCAGGATTTGTATTCTTTAAAGGATGCTATGTTAACTCTGTGCATTCCTACTTCTTGTCTCTCTCGCTCAGGCTCAACTGTGCCTTTTTACATCCTGTCTTGCAGGTCACAAGCTATCCCCTGACATGCTGTTGTTGACTTGTCTCTGAACTCCCTGTTTGGTCTCATCTACATTTTGGTTTATGATTTGGCTTGATCCAGTGTATTTACCCAAATGCTATATATCTCACCCTTCCAAACACTGATTCTGTCACAGTCTGAGGGCAGTAAATTCCCTTCTCCTTTAAGACTGATGAATTTAGTTCTTGCCCTTATAATCACTGTATATGGTCTCTCCAAAGACTTCCTCCTCAATCATCAAAAACTACCCTAAGAGCCTTTTGCTTACATTTTCAGCAAATGGCATTTTCAAGCCACTCACAGATGTGTCATCCATCCAAATATTGAGCTGTTTAGTTTAGAGCTTCTTGAGAAACATGAAAGAATCCTTAGTTATGAATAAAACTTCACTCATAAAAAATTCCTTTGCTGCCTTCTTAGGGTTAACAGTTGCATTTTAATTGTGGCTCTTAAGAAACTTTGTTTTGATATTTAAAACAAAAAAGAAAAGAGGAAGAAAAATCGCTTTGTGTGTTGGTGCCCCCTTGGTATCAGTTTGAAGCTGTGTTGGTGCAGGATATAACCCAGCAGAGCATTAACTGGGTGGGAGGTTGTTTTCTTTAATCATTTATGTTTGCTGCCTTTTCATTCTCACTGTATATTCTCTTTTTAATGGATTTTAAAGATCATTTTGTGTAGCATGCCAAGGTGTTGAAACAGCTCCCTTGGCCTATTGCACCAGTGACTCCTGTGTATTTCTAACCTATATTTATAGCTCTGATTTTCTGTATCCTGCCGATGTCTGGGGCATGCATCTGAGCCTTGATGTCTGCATTCACTTCTGTCATCCTTTCAAGTATATATATATATATACAAACACAAGTATACAGAGAGTATATGTACTGTAAGTAATGAAGTGGTAACTGTTGGTCACAGTGTGCCTGCATTTTTCTTGAACTGGTGTGCTCATAATGACCAGTGCTTTTAAATTACCCACTTTTCTTTGGGGATTATCAGCAGTCCCATTTTAGGTGAGTGCTCTGATTGAGCCTGAATGCATTTATTTGGCTGTTGTTAGCCTGGTCACAATGCTCCTGTCTTGAAATAATTTTCCCTTTACACCAAACTGTTAATTTTGTCTGTGGTGTTTTTTGGGGTTTTTTTGTTTGGGTTTTTTTTTTTTTTTTCTTTTTGTGCTGCAATCCACTGAATGGTGCCTGAACCAGGAAAGCAGAATGACTTGGGAATTTTATTCCCAGTTCTAACGCTGATTTAAAGCGTCGCCTTGGGCAAGTGACTGCTTGTCTGCTTTCTCTTACATTCACTGGAGGCAGTGATATTCATTTATGCATCTCCTGGAGCTGCTTAGCTGTGGTATAAATGCACTGCGTGGTCCAGAGGATCTGTGGTAGCTAGCTAGAGTGGGTATCGTGGAGCACTTCTTAATCACTTTCCATATATTTTTATTGTCCCCCTCCCAGACCAGATGGATTTGAAATTTATAGTTCTGAGAAACTGGATTCCTTTGCTCATACTGTATGGCTCTTTTTTTTTTTTCTTTTTTCTTTCTGGCTTTTTTAAAATTTTTTTAAAAATTTTAATTCAGCGTCTAATTTAATAAAGTATTTGATCAGCTGGTACGTGCACTTAAGAAAGTGACAGAAGGCAGAGGCTTCCAGGGGTGCCAGGCAGATGAGCTGGGTTTAGGAGAGCAAAAGAACGAGGCAGCTGTAAAATAAAATAAAATATATCTTAGCAGTTAACGTACAACTACCATCATAGACAAAATGAATAGTCTGCTCTCTTTCTTCATCATACTAGAATGTGATGGTAGTTTCAGACATCATTACTTCTCAACTTCAAAGGAGGATTAAAGCTTTATGACAGTTGACAGGTTTATTTACATCCGTTTTCCTCAGATTTAAAAAAAAAAATTCCACCTGCTTCTCCTTTCATTTGTGGCCTGCAAAGGGTTAAAGACTTTGAATGCAGACATATATGGTGCTGTATTGATATTATGTACTTTGTAATAGAAAACAGAACTTTCCAGGTCAAATATCAATAACATTCTATAAGCCTTTCTAGGAAAATATAATTAAAACCATTCAAAGCTGTTTCCCATAACTGAATTTACTGTGTTTTATTGATTTCCGTCCCACATCTACAATGGGATATTATTATTGACTTCTACAGCTCTGCCTATTTTAAAAATAAAGAAAACACAAAATTAGGTGGTGGTATTCTTTTTATTAGAAATCTTGTCCTCCTTTCTCCCTGAAACAGGGATCATATTGAATTGTTTGAAGAAGAAAATGGTGGGGTAGGCCTTCAGCTGGTTTAAATTGACATAGTCCCACTGAAAACAGCTAAACAAGTGGACCATCAACTGAGAATCTGTCCACATTCTGCATTTAAGCCATTTATTCCTTTGCACCCAAGGCTATCAGTTACAGCACTATCTCTGGCTTTTTTGTCAAGCTTTAATGACTTGTTTTCATATTCTATACTGTAAGTAGGATTTAAAGTAGGAAGCCACTAAGTTGCTTAAATATTTCAGACAGAATGAATTTGCTTTTCTATTTCTGTCACTCCCTGTCCTCAAAGCAAATATTTTGTCACATCATCCACATTTAAATCAGGAGTATATTCTTCCAAGCATATTGTATATTTGTGTATTGTATATTATATATATGTATATTTGTATATTTGGTAAGTTCTTAAAACCTATTTGTTAGCACAGCCTCTTTATAAAAAGAAAGGCATAATGATCTGAAAATTTGAATGTTTATATAAAATAGCTGATACGGTACCATATTCACTAATCATATTTATTTTGAAGACTTTTAACAAATATTTAGTATGTCTGTGTTTTTTACATAATTCTGTCAGTGGAATAATTTTTTAGCTATAAATTTTAAAAACATGGAACTGTTTCTGCAGCTATTACAGAAACCTAAGAAAAATCCTTCCTGGGAATAGTTTTGTTGTTGTTGGTTGTGGGTAGCTTGGCACTTAGATTAGTCACACATTATCTGATCAATATTTAAGATTTTTTAAGAAGTCAGACATATGCAGATGTCTAAAATAGATGTGTATGCACACTTACCCACATATATATCTATAGAAAGAACAAGTGGGTGTAGAACCTTACAAAGAGTTTAAAATATTTTATTTCCATAAAGTTCCATATGCTTGTGTAATATTGGTCTGATTTTCCTGAAATCCAAAGATCCCAGAAGTTTGTAGGGATTGCATTTTAGCAGAGAGGGAATAACTCAGACAGTTTCCTTTCTGTTTGAATTACGACTCAAATAGAATACCTAGATTTAACATTAACTTCCTTTAAAAACATTCAGACATGGATATTTATTGGTTATGACAACCTGGAATATTTTTAGTCCATTAATGGCTTTTTCTAATGCAGTTGGAGCTTAGTTGTTATAATATGGAGCACCCCTCATGTCCCAAGGCAGACAGTGGCTGCACTTAGAAATATCTGATGATCAGTGGTAAATGTATTCTGAAGGAGATGAGGTAAAAGAAAATAAGTCTAAAAGTGTTAAGAGCTGAACAGACATACTGTGTATTGAACAACAATTTTTTTTTTTTCTCCTTCAGCAACTAAGTTATTTTATTATAACTTATTACATACATGTGCAGTTGGGAGACAGAAAGACTTCTGTATGAACCATAATTATTCCTTCTGCTGTCAAAATTACTATAATTCTGTGCCTGAGTTTTAAATTACATTCAGAAGATAATATGAGCTATTGTCCTTGTTGCTGTTTGATCTGAATACTCAACTAGAAATTCATTTTGGTGAATACTATCTTAATTTATTTTTCAGGTCATTTTAAGTCACCTGCAAATTGCAGGCAAGTCTGAGCCATGATTTTTGTATTTAATTTTTTGAAAAAGATCTCAGCATTTCAGTTGGATATGCAGAAACTTTTACACTTGAAGTATTTATTTAATATTGTAATAACTGTATGTTTGGTTGTCTATATTTTCTACTAATCATATTAGAAACTACATTAGTATGTAAGAAGGACCAGAATAAATAATTTATAAATCTGCAGAGTTCTTACATCATTTTCATTAGTTAGTCCATGTCATTTATATTTTCTTCCTGTCTAGCTTAAAAATGGTTCAGCAGTTTGATTTTAGATTGATGTATGTCTTTTTTTAAAAAAGGTGGTGGTGGTAAAGAATTTGTCAAGTGAAATGTATAGGATTTTGGTGGACTGTCCTGCTGTTCTCTTACCTTTAAAAAAACCTGCTTATAAACACTCCAGAACAGACTGGGTAGTGGCTATAGATTTTCAGTCACACAACTCCCTCTTTTTCAAATCTGGTATTTGCTGTCCTGTGCCATCTCAAGAAGGATTATTGTTTACGGGCATTATGGTATCATTTAATGTTCTTCATTAAAAGTTCAGTGTTTTAGCATACAGGTGGCATCAGGAAGATGAAACCAAACAGATGCATATTATTAAGAGATGAGAGGAAAAAAATCTGATCCTGACCTGCATCACTTGTTTTCACTGCATCTTCCCTTTGTCCTCCGTTTTTCACACAACCCATGAATACTTTGAAAAAGACATAATTAAATCAAATTTTTACACACATATATAAATTTGGCAGTATCAATTACTTGCCTAGGGCTGACACTTTTATATTTTTAACTCTGATCATGCTTGCCATGTGAAAAGCATCACTGCAGTATGCAGAGAAATTGTAATTGCAGTAACATATGCAGTAGAATATTTTTTCCAGCTTAAATTGATTATTCTCTTTATCTTTATAATTATTGTGAAATGCTGTGATTTTATTATCAGGCCTCTTGAGGTAGTTAGAATATTGTGTAATTCTTTTATGAGTTCAGAAACCAGATTTTACTGTATAAGAGTGGCTAACGCATATGGATACACCCCCAAAGTTTCCAGTAACAATTACATTCCAAGAAAGGTGCTAAATATATTGCTACCAAGAATCTCTTGGTTTTTTCCTCCCTCAATCTTTGATGTCATTTGGGAAAGCCAAGAATTTTCACTTCACCTACTTAAAATTTTTAAACGTGAAATAAAATTTCGCTTTAGATTTTTATCCTACCCAGGAAGCCTGATCCTGTAGCTATCACCTGGCAAAAATTCCCACTTAAATTAAATGTGAGTCTTCCTAGTCAGGACTGCAGGCATAGGGCTGCAGTTATAGTCAGCCGTTTGTGGTGAAATTATTCCGAGTCCACACGAGGCTGCTGATGTTGTTATTCTAGCTGAAAACTTCACTACAAAGGCACAAACCCTTTAAAATAAAATTTGCAAGATCACTTGTTTACATTTTATAATTCAGAGATGTAAACTGGTTGGTAGTGTTAGGATTACTGTTTGTTTTAATTTAGAGATGTGTTAACCTTTTAAGGTTGGGGATTTTTTTGGGAAACAAGTTCTTAATGTCATTTTTTATATGCCCAAAGCAAAAGCTGTAAATGGATTTAAAATCGTAACATACTTCTTTAGATCAGCATTATACTTACTACACAGTTTCTACCCACATTACTTTACAAAGTGAGAGCAGATGATAATTGGGGTAGTTTGCAGGCAATAACAACCTGCATTTTCTCACAGGAGCCTTACTAACAGTGTGACATAAGGAAGGTAAAAGCAAATTGAATTAGAAAAACAGCAAACATTGTGTTTTATAACCCAAAATAAAATTCTTCAGCAGCAACTAGTCCTGTAATGTAATCCAATCTGTTTTAATACTGAGATTTTTCCAAGAAAGCAGGAAACAGTAAAGGGTAAGGCTTTCAAACCTCTGCTGTTTCGTTTACAGATCCCTTGTGTTAATTTAATGCTTCTAGGGAACTGGGGCTCTTTCTTTTTTCTCAGAATCCCTTCTCTAGGAAATACTGAGTGGTGTGGTGCTGAGAAACAGTCATGGTTTACAACAGATAAGCCAAAGGACCTGGATTCAAATTCCACACTTCTCTGAGAAAACAAAACACTCCAATGCGTGCTTCTCTCTAAAACGGACGATTTCTTGCTAACAGACTACAGAAAATTTACCTTAGAAGGACCTTAGCAGACAACTCCCTGGGCCCTGACATTTTTCCCCTTCTCCTATCCCTCCTATGCATGCACCAACATCTAGCTTTCTGTGCAGTCAGGCTTTTTAAGCATAAAAGATAAATATTTGCAGCTATTACTTTTGGAGCATTACCGTGAAAGTTTTACGGGCACAAAATTCACAGTTCTGCTGGTATGACTCTGAGAACTGCAACCCCAGCAGATGCAACATTGGCCCCTTCCCACACCCTGCCAGTGCGTTTTCCCCATGCTTAAAACACCCCCTCTCCTTCCCCAAACCAGAGACACCCACCTGGAAAACTGGATTTTGCAGCTAAAACTGATTTTGTCTGGAAAAAACAGAATGAGTTGCTTGCAAAAACCCAGCCTGGCTGATGTCAGCCGTGTGCGTTAGCAGCCCAGCTGCTGCAGCTTTCGGAGATGCCTGGGCAATGCGTGTTTTGGCCTCTTGCCGTTTTCTTTTCCTTCTTTTCCTTATTTTGCCGGTTCAAAAGAGGGGCTCATGGTCCAATTTCTGAAATTACAACAACCCTGGTTTATGGGGTCCTGTTGTCAGTGAGGGTTTGGGGTGTAAGTAAGGGGGTTTGAGTGAGGCTGTGGGGTGCCCCATGGAGGGTGTCATTAAGGCTTGGGAAACAGCAATGTCACAAGCAAGCAGGAGGAGACATCTGGAAAGGGGCCATCACTAGGGACACATCTGTGGGACCACTCCTGGTCCTCGGAAGGGCAGGAAGAACAAGATGTGGGGAGAAGGAATAAGGGAGGTACAGCAGGAAGGAGTAGCTGCCTGACTACAGCTGCCTGTCTTGCCTGTCCTCCAGCAGACTGAGGGTGATGGAAAACAAGGGAAATTGAGGCTAGGAAGGGGGAGAAGTTAATTTCTTCCTCCCCCCACCCCCCTACAAATATCTGAATCAGTAATTAGAACTTTGTGTTAATTGGCAGTAAAGTGAATTATGTAAAATTCCTAGAGTTGGGACTGTTTTGCTTGCAAGAGGAAGAGAAAAGCAAAGATTAACAACATGCTTTATAACCAGCAGGCTCTTCTGTCTGTTTGCCTGGCATGGGATGAGATTCTAAGGAATTTTGTTCTTGTGGTACAGAGTACCCTGACAGACTAGTACTTTTCCTATAGTCATTGATTTTTTCATTACTATGTAAAGGCAGGGAGAATATTCAAGGCTGAGCTATATCCTGACTCAGGCCCAGGGTGGGCTAAAAGAATCTCAGATTCATGTGGTGGGAAGAGACATTTGGCTGAAGGGAAGAGTATTAGCAATTATTATTATTGCCCTTTATCACAGGTTCTTGGTGCCTGTCCCACTGCTGGTGCCATACAGCTTAGGAAAGAAAGTTTAGCAAGCAGTTTTAGGTGTGCCATCAAGAATCCTGTTGCAAGCCAGGGCAGGTGCAGCTCTCCTAAAGTCATGTTCATGGTTTAGGCTTATGGCTGTGAAATTAATTGGTAGTTCATGGGATTAGCACCAGAGTGGGATGTTGTGGCACTCCAGAGATTTCCCAAGATCAAGGAAATATTTTGAGAATCTTCTTCAGGTTACTCTCATATAAGCAGAGGGAGAGAAGTCTCAGTGCTGGGGTACATAAAACACTGATTTTCTTCCTAAACCTTTCCTGAGTTTTGATGTGGGAGGGAGAGCTCTCCATCGATTTTATCAGCAGGTTCAGTTTACACTTGCAATGTTCATTATGTGAGCTAATATTGAGGAACAACAGAAGAGAAAAAAACCCCAAGGAAATTCCAGTCTTAGAGGGTATAACATGCTGAATACTCCACTGATGCAATTTGTAGCAGTTTTAGAGCTTAAATTTTCCTATGGCAAAATAACTTGAATCCTGCAAAGAATTCTTGATAATGTAAAAATATCACCCCTACCAATTATGGAATCAAACTTTGAAAAACAAATTAGCTAGTCAAAAATTTGTAACATAAACTTCCTCTTCTGCCTCTGCTATTTCCAGATTTTTATTTTGTTTTGTCATTTTGTTGTGTAAACCCCTCAGGGTTGGCAGTGTTTTACGAAATATCACTGATTTCTACTAAACCATGTGTTGACTCTATGAAAAAAACATATTGTGATTCTATTTTTTGTGTGTGTGTGAACAGACTTTGAGAAAATACACGCATAAAAATCATAGAATAACCATTGGGTTGGAAGAGACCTTAAAGATCATCTCATTCCAACCCCTCTGCCATGGGAGTTCATGGGATAACTTTCACTAGACCAAGTTGTTCAGAGCCCCACGCAGCCTGGCCTTGAACACTTCCAGGGATGGGGCATCCACAACTTCTCTGGGAAACTGGTTCCAGTGCCTCACTATCCTCTGAGTAAAGAATTTCTTCCTAACAAATAAGTTTTAGGAAGAGTGTTTACATGTAAACATCTTTTTAAATCTAAATCTGCCCTCTTTCACTGTTAAGTCATTCCCCCTTGTTCTGTCACTGTGTACCCTAGTCAAAAGTCCCTCCCCAGCTCTTTTGTAGCTCCCTTTAGGGGGCACTGGAAGGTGCTATAAAGTCTCCAGCAAGCCTTCTTTTCTGTAGACTGAACAGTCCCAAATCTCTCAGCCTGTCTTATACAATTCCAGCCTTGTGATGATCTTCATGGCCCTTCTGTGGACTCATTCCAGGAACTCTAATGATGGTTATGTAAAGGCAGACCAAGGTCCATCTGTCTTAGCAACTTGTTTCCAATTAGGATCATGGTCCAATGGCTGAGGGAGAGCTTCAAAAAGACCTGTTTGTGGCAGTAGGTATCTACCATGCTTTTCCTGGAGGCTGGAACCTGGAAGCTTCATGAGCTGCAGTTTGTATCTTGGCATTTTATTCTCTTTCATGATTTTTACTCTCCCTTAATTTGAGAACATGCTTGTTGGAATCAGGTGCTTGGATATTGTGATAGATTTAACTTTTGACCTGCTTTCCCACTGAGTTGCATTTGATGCACTTCTGTTCCCCAAACATGGTTGACTTAAAGGAGAGACACCAGTATACTGTCACCAAGGATGCAGCCTGTGTTGGCCATGTAATAAAAATATCAGCCTTCAAAGGCAAATTCCAGTTGTTCAAAGAGCTGTATGCAGGAAGACCCTTTCTCTTTAGTCTTCATCTCCTCTTCATTCACCAGGGTTCTTCCTAGGCTCAGGAGACCTAAGTGAGCTTTTTTTTGCATTTAGGATTGGATCTGTAAAGTCAGGAATGCTTCTGATAAACAATAATGGCACGTGACTACCTGAAGGTGTCAGTTTGGTGTTATTTACATAAAGCCTTGCACAAAGACCAGAAACATTTCCTTTGGCCTGTGTGCAATGCATGACAAACCAACTTCCTATGCAAAAAGGCAATGTCTATCTGTCTGTCTCCCTTGTATAAAATAGTCCCCAGCAGCGTTACTGTGTGTGGCTGCTTTCTGGCTGGCACAACTGTAAACATTGTTTGTTTCTTTTCAGCATGGGATTAATCTGCACTGTTCACGTAGCCATTCAACAGTAACCCAAAATAATGTGTGCCGTGATGTGAATGTTGGATTACATGGGCAGCCTTCCAGATCTATCAAAAGAGCTGCTTCATCTCTTCACTGGATTTTCTGGCAGAAGGAAGATAATAAAACTCTGCTCTCTGCATAGCAGATAGGTAGAATCTGTTCTGCATCTTGTGAAGAAGGGCTTATTAATTCATAGCTGCTGGAGTTTTTAAAACAAAGATGAAAGTTTTTAGGTGTTCAGTTCATAAGATGTAGAATGGATTTGCATGTTGCCTTATAGGTTGTAGAAATAATAATAAGCAAGAGAATTATGAAAGGCCTTCCATAGCAAAATACGGAATAAAACAAGTCAACTTCTATGCAGATGTGGTAATTTTCACAAAAACTTCAGACATGCAGCAAGATTTTCTGCTTACTCTGAAATCCTTGGGGTTTATCCCATTTCTTTTTGTTATGTTGGTGGGATTTACTGAAGTTGTATAAAACTTCAAAATTCAAAGAGCTGTCTTAAAATATAGAGTACATTCCATGAAAAGATATTAAAGATTACATTAATGTACATTTTATTTTTGCTTAAATCTTAAGAGTGTTACTGAGTTAGATCTTTGAACTTGAAGACTGGCAGTTGTCAATATGACAGTTTTGTGACTGATCTTGTGAGGAGTGGTTATAGTCACACTGTCTTCCATTTACATATAATTCATTTACAAGCCAGAGCTTTGATTTTTCAGGTTGATACAGAAAGCTTGACTTCTGTCATGGCTGAATTCCAAGTTGTTGTGTGATATTACTTGTATAAGCACTGCAATAAACCACTGGGAATAAACCAGCAGAGCCAAAGTCATCCTGCGTGATCAATTTGCTGGTCGCAGTAACATGAGAAATGTAATATGAGAACCAGCCCTGGTGTTCTCAACAGTCACCATCTCCAGGTGTGGAGACCTTGATATATATCAGGCAAGGGAAAAGAATATGATTATTTTACTTTTACAGCTAGCAAATTAAGCAGTAGAATGAACGGCTTCCCTAAAGTTTATGTCAGGTTCAGGAACTGAACTGTTAACTCCCAGTCCACTGTCCTAACCACAGATGGTTTTTCCTATCATCAATTTTACCAAAATACATAACTCCAGAATACATTAATTTTAGGCTGTTGCAATAATGCCTCATTTTTATAGTTATCACTGTTCCTAATGAATTTGCTGCAACTTATTTTAATGGGCTTTCAGTGTGCTGGCTAGGATTCCAGGATACTTATTGTTTGTACTTCATAAAAACACCATGCTGTCTTTCAACAGAAAGGTTTTTCTTTTAACAATCCTTTTAAGTACATTTCATGAAATAACAAAGACAGCCATTTAAACACAGGATTGAATAGCTTCTGCCAAGTTTCAGTGAACATTTTTTTATTTACATTAGGAATGGAAAAGATTTCCTGATCCTAGCATTTGTTCTTTTACTATTCCAGGCAACCTCCTTCTGCTATGCCATTTGCAAAGTGATCAAAATCCGGTTAAGTTCTTTGTCTTCACTGCTGTCATTAAAATTATGTTCCAAAACCTCCGTGCAGTCAGGCTAGAAGCTTTCTTCTAACTTCAGACTGAATTTCATTGTGGCCTGTTTATATCCACTTGTTCTTAAGTTAACACTTGTTTTGCTTAAATAACTCTTCTAGTGCCTCTGAAAAATATTTATGGAAACAAACCTTGTAGCTCTCTTAGAAGTCTACCTCTTCCAAGGTTAACCAAGGGTCTTCTTCTTGTCTAGGCAAAGCTTATCTGTTCTTTTGACCACCCTGGTAAACTTGCCCTGCACCAGTTTGAGACCAGTTTCCTTTAATATGGGTAATGAAAACCTTTGTGCAATGCTCAAGGTGAGCTCTTGACTTGTACAGCAAGAGCACTGCAGT